AGATGCGGCGAGCATGTTTTGACAATAAGGGGGACCAACCCTCGACATCTATATTAAGTCATAAATACCTCTATTTTTCCAAGTTTGGCCCATTTTGGTTTCGATTTTATTCAATCAAAGAATATAATCCTCATTTTTTTTTGGGGGGGGGGGGGGGGGGGGGGGAAGGGGCGGAACGGAGGACATGAAGAGTGGTAGTCATGTATTCTAAATCAACGGGCTTCTTAATATTTATCTCTAAGCTTAACAACATTCACTAAAGGGTCATACATTGGACCCATAAGTGTATAGACTTTATTAGAAATTGAATAAGGAATAAGTATTTGAGATTTATAGATACAAGTTTTCCCTCTTGATTTGGTGGCTCTGGGACATACTCTTGATTTCCAGCAAGAATGGGAGACTGCAGTCTAGTAGCTAGAGGTATAAAATCCTTAGATTCCTTTGAGATTTTTGCCTTGGAAGTCATTGTTGCAGTCTTATCCAAAGAGACACGTAGAAACTATTTCAGAGGTGAAAAATATACACCAACTACATGTCAATTGCTAAAGAGAAGAAAGTTACAAGCAATTATTTTACAATAGTATAATTAAGATTTCTATTGTTAGAATTCGACGTGTTGTGTTGAATTCACTGTAAAAAAAAACTCAAAGCATTCAGCGAAGTAAAGCTTGCATGCATGCATCAAAGACATTGACTCACAAGCATGCGTCACAAGCAATGACGTACGCCTTAGACTTAAAATGAGTGCATGTGTCACAGACAATGACGCCTTAGTCTTAAAATAAGTGTGTTTTTAGATAAATAAATTTATTCTACGGTAAGTGTTAAGTTATATTTTTTTCAATGCAACTTTAATTAATTTATATTAATTTTACTTTTAATTAATATTATATACATTATTTTAAAATAATTAATATATATGTATGATAACAAATAATAACCATAATAAGTAAATATAATTTTATAAAATCATTATATTTATTTATTTCTTCATTATATTTTAAATATGTATTTTAACAACGTCAAAAAACTTTTATTTTGAGAGAAAGGAGTATATATAATTAGAAAAAGTTGAAATAGAAATAAAACTAAAATTAAAAAAAAATAAAATTAATTAGTCATTTAAATTTTCGTTTCTAACTGGACAAATTTCACTTTTATATATATATATATATATATATATATATATATATATATATATATATATATATATATATATATATATATATATATATATATATATATATATATATATATGTGTGTGTGAGAGAGAGAGAGACTAAACTAAAATTACTCTTACACAAGATGATGAATGAATGCAACTCAAGTTGGTGAAGGGTAAAAGGTGAAAACTATAAAACTGACTATAGTTTTCCACATAGGGCTGAAACTCAAAATAAATCCAAGGTAGTTTCAGTATTGCTGCATGGTAAGTTCGTTAACAAATCCACCATATGAAGCAATCAGACTCTGATCCATCTCGAAAAGCGTTCCATTTTATCAACGAATATATTTTAGGCTGTAGCTGCAGCACACAAAGGATAATAGACTACACCAATCATTATTACAAAAACTCAATGATGAACTGTCCTTTAGCCACGTGTTTAATCTCATTTTACATCAGACGGATCCCCCACCTCCAACTAAGACTCTACTCATTTTAAAGGGTATGGTAAAATTTCTGACACATGGCACGTGCATGTGGGACTTTGGAGTTCATAGAAAGAAAGTAATTTTAGGGCAAAGTTAGCATTCTCATAATTCCACTCAATGTATTTTATAACCTAAAATATTTCTCTTTGCTCTGCAAAAATGATTCATGCACCATAGAAAAAGCTAATTATTCTTGCTATTTTTTTTCAATTTCATAGGTGCATAAGGGTGGAGCCTCTACACCTCATACCCCAAACTCTCATAATGTTGTATTTCAAAGTTAAATTGTATCCTGATGTTTCTACCTAATTATATTGAAAATATATGATAGAAAATAAAATAAATAAATAAAACTAAACTTCAGCACAAGATGTGCTAATTAAGTAGGTCAAAATATCTCAGGCAAATTACAGTGATATTAAAGGATTAGAAGTGGACAAATTTCAATCATCTGATTGATATCTGATTGAAATCGATTAATCTATTATTTTATATTTTTTAAATAGATCGGGTTAAATTGATGTGGTTATTTAATTTGGATAGTATATAATTGTTTCGGTCGAATTCAAATAATTATTTTAAATCTGTCAAAAACCGAAATCGATCGAGCTGAACTAATATATATTTTATTTATTTTTATTATTATAGAGTTGTCTCATTATAAAAATATGAGATACATAATGATCCGGACTGGTCAAATCGTTATGCATGACCCAATCTACTTCTGTTACCAGAATGACCCAATTGTCTAAATTCAACCTCTTTGGTGGAAAGTTTATCTTTTTGCCCCTTTAATAGGGGAGACTGACCAACTTACCCTTGGTCATAACACTTCTCCCCGTCAGTCTCTGCTTGTCACGCACGGTTCCACCATCCAGAAACAACGAATACGCTTGTGTCCGTAACTATGCCTCTGTCCGCGCCAACGGCTAGTTATGGGCACGTCTGCCCGTCCTAACGACTAGTTCTGACAGTTACCTATTTTTCGGGTAACGACTATCTTGCCCCGAAAATATGGACTAATGGACAACTGCTAATTATAAAAACCCTCTAATTTTAAAGGATCAGGTATCAAATATTCACCCTGAAACATACATATTTTGTACTTACTCTCTCTCTTACTCGTTTTCTTACTTTAACATCGGATTGCCTTACAAGTACACTCTCACTTTTTCTTTCATATCCAACATCACAGACGTTTGTCTTTGACCTACTTCAAATTCTGATCAACCAATAAGATCACATAACAAAGTCCTTTTTTAAATTTAATTGTGATATTGTATATTTTTAAAAGTAAAAAAAGATATGCAATATAAAATCTTAAATATTATTTAGTTTATAATTTAAATTATGATGATTAAATTAATGTTAAATGATATTAAAAATATTATTAAGTAATAAATTTTTTTTCAATAATAAAAAGATAGTTATTCAATTATTCTAAAATTGATATTTTTTTAAAAAAAAATTAATAAGAAGAAGTAAACGTTTATGAGTTTTATAATGAGAAAATGGGTGATTCACATATATTGTAAAAGAATTTTATACTGTCAGCCAATCACAATCATAAATTTCGTCAAATCAAACTGTAATTTTAAAAAAATTTATATGACATGATAAAATAATATATTTTTATTAGATAATAGTGTAAAATTCTTTTACACTGTTAGTGCATTTCTTTAACTTGTTTTTATAAAAAGTGAGACATTTTTATAAATTTACTTTAATAAATATTAAACTGACTAAATCTATCTAATTTACTATCAAACCGATTTAATCAAAACCGTTAAAAACTGAAACTTTATCGATCGAAATTAGACTATAAAGATAATAGTGATTTATATCAGATTTAATAGTGACATATTGTGACTAGAAAACAAGAACTAAGAAAATAGAAAAAAATAGCCGTATACATAACTAGCGCAGCCCAATAACGTTCTAGTACATGTCAATTTAGATAATGATAATCTTTATAGGAAAAAATAGTACTCTTTAGAATTAAAAAATAATAATAATACGGCTTTTTCAACTAAATGGCACGTAGCGAATCTTGTTACAATTATCAATAGTACCATGTGAGTGTCTTTTTAATTTGGAATCAAGATCTTTCCTAAATAGGAAACTTAAACTATAAACCACTAGAATTAAAAGCTCAACTACTTTGTGATGATAAAGCTTCACCTATGCATATGGTTTTCCTTTTTTTAATTGCTCAGGTGATTTTGTTTTAATCTGTACTATATTAAAATTTCAATTATTATTTTTCTTTAATTGTATTAAATAAACAACAGTATACACAGCTTGAGTAAGATGAGTATAAACTATTCTACAAATTTATATTCTTTTAGAATATATAAGTAAATAATTTATTGATACTTAAATATTTTTGTCATAATCTTTTTTTATAAGCAACATTTCATTTAACGAGAAGTATTAACGGGATTCCAATTCAATATACAAATTACAACATCATCACCACCAACATATTACAATTTCACCTATAGATAACCAATTGAGTATTTTTACCATTCATAATAATTACATTTTATATTGGATCCTAAAGTCAACCACCACAATGAAAAAAGAATAATTCAAAGTATTCCACCGTAGCTGCTCCATATTTTTTAAACCTAAATCTCAATGCCACACATCCATATATCTACACATAATTTCAAAATTTTAAAGATGATTTTAATCCTAATAATTTAACAATGAAATATGTAAAAGTTAGTTTTTGATATAATTTTGAAACTTGAGCAATTGATCGTCTTAAAGTTTTAGATTTAAATTATATTTACGTTGTCTGTTCAATTCTATTAGAAGTTAACAATTTTTATGCGAGATTATCATAAGTTTGCTTCGCCTTTAAATTTAGACTTAATTTGAAAAAAAATAGTTTAACAAATAAAATATATTACCTATGTAAAATCACCTTGAGTGCAAATAACTTACATAGATAGATTTCAAGAACAAGAATAATATGACATAGTATTACCTCACCCTTACCTGTTATATATACATGATGAGATGATATATACAAATTTACATTTAAAGAGTCACCGCCTCAAAAGTGTTACTTTACTATTGTCCATTCCCAACATCACTATTTTATTCATTTTTTCACTATTCTCCCTTCATTCTCACCAATCTATCTATCACAAGCATTCACTCACTCCAACTTCACGCTCTGATATCAATTCCTCTCTCTCTCCATCTCTCTCTTTCCTCTGCTCATCTTCTGTTTTTCTCTGTTTTTTCAGTTACCCTTTAAATACTTGTCCATCTTTTTCTCCTTCCCTCCATCTTCATCTTTTGTTTCTATCTTTATTCCCTTCACATCACAAATGGACTGTAATAATAACCAGTTAAAATCTTCCTCCTCATCATCAGAGGAACAAATTGACATGATGTTGATGATGATGATGCAACTCCCTGAATTCTCTTCATCCAACAACAACAACAACACCAATGAATTTCCACCGTCAGATCAAGACTTCTATAGTTCTTCCGTTAATCCTAACAATAACACACGTCCTCTTTCAGATTTAATCGATAACCCTCCGAATCCATTCCCATGGTCATCATCTTCATCACTACCTTTACAATCAACAAACAATATCTCTTTCACTACCAACAACCCTGCTACTCCATTATTCCTTCAACAACAACAACAAGCTCCACCGTTAATGTTTTCGAATTCGAACAACAACCACGCTGTATCGAATCCGAACCATTACGGTGCATCTGAGAAGAGAACCTCGATGGCGGCGATGCGAGAGATGATATTCCGAATAGCAGCGATGCAACCGATTTACATAGACCCGGAATCGGTAAAACCGCCAAAGAGAAGGAACGTGAAGATCTCAAAGGATCCTCAGAGTATAGCAGCGAGACACCGAAGAGAAAGAATAAGCGAGAAAATAAGAATACTCCAGAGAATGGTACCTGGCGGAACGAAGATGGATACTGCATCAATGTTGGATGAAGCTATTCATTATGTTAAATTTCTCAAGACACAGTTGAAGACATTGCAGGAACATGCCAACAATAACAGGACAGTTGCTGGTTCTGGGATAGGGTTCCCTGTTTCATTCCCTAAGCCTCATCAGGCTCGTAATGTTGATCATTATGGTGATTAATTTTGTTGATTAAGGTTTAATTAGTATTTATAAGCTTAACTATCTACGTGTGAGGGATCATTTAATTATTAAATATAGTACTCTTTATTTCAAGGTTTAGTGCTTTAACCTATTTAGAATATTTACCATAATTTGGTAGTAGTAATGTACTTGTTTTTATTTTATATTAGTAAATAATATGGTGATAAAATTTCACACATATAACCACAATAATCAGGATTAGAATTCTAGTATTTAGGATCAAACTAATATCCATATTTGTTAGTTAAATTAGAATTTATAGATTTATGTGATTATTAACTATTTGGTATTTTTAAATTTTTTATATAAATATGTGTTTATTTTAAGGGTAACAAAAATTTGGCCAAATTGTGTATTTATTAGTTTGATTATTTGATTTTAATATAATTATTTGAATATTTTTATTGAAAGCGATATTGAAATGAGTGTGGGCGTGGCAGAAAGAAAAGAGATAATATTGTAAAGATAGGAGAATAGGGGATAACTCTATTGATTGAATAAATAATGGAGAAAATGATTTATAGTATATTTTATATTGATATATTTAATCATTGAATCTTGTTTTAAATATTGTATTTCACGTGTTATATTTTAATTAGATAAAGGAGTATGGTAGTAAACCAAACATTCTAGCATTAAAATACTTATTATGAATGTTTTAAAAACTAGTCGTATTAATAAAAGGTTATAATATATATGAAATGTTATGTTTCTTAACTATAAACATTTTTTTTGAGTATGGAAGCAGGGAGCAATGTCCCACACATGGTTAAACGGAAATTTTAGGCTCCCGGTTTTGGGTACAGATGTATGGTCATGTTGAAAACAACCCGGTGCATGGTTTTCTGAAGTAAACAAAAAATAATGGATTATATATATATATATATATATATATATATATATATATATATATATATATATATATATATATATATATATATATATATATATATATATATATATATATATATATATATATATATATATATATATATATATATATATATATATATATATATATATATATATATATATATATATATATATATATATATATATATATATATGAATTTGAATAGTAAGTATTTTTAACTTATTTCAAATCATAACATTTGAATTGAATATAATCTAATAGTTAAATTAACATTTTTATTTAATTAACTTATTAGATTAGATTCAATCCAAAAGTTATAATTTAGTGTAAGTTAAAAAAAAAACTTACTCTTAAAAGATAGTCTTATATCTACGCTTTAAAACATCTTGTTTAACTCAGAAGAGGAAAATTATTCTTCGTCTAATGAAGAATCTTTTTATGAAGAGGTTAATCAGATCAACACTCCTGAGGAGTTCGATTCTGACTCTGAAGAATGTAATCGATTTTTGTAATTGCAATAGCTATAAAACCATTAACGTGTTAACTAATCATCATGCTAACACTTTAATAGGAATATTAGATAAAATGGAAAAATCTAAAAGTAAAAATGCTTTCATGAGACAAATTAAAAACATTATTGATGAAAAATGATATCGGTAATAGAAGTGTTAATACCATTGAATTTAAGAATTGTCACACCCTAATTTTTAACTCTAAGATTCCACCTCTTTAAATCATATTGCGTGGCATCTTCAAGGCATAGGTTTTTGTGTGCATGTTTATTGTGACTAACCAGTTTGTGTAGGTGCAGCATTTTCAAATATGGACCCTTACAGAAGCTTTAGTGTATCCCCCAAAGAGAATTAGGGCTTCTTATTCACTGGTGTTGAATATGATCGTCTGAGGATTGGTTCTGGTTTCGTGGCAATTTACATCACAAGTTGCACCCTTATTTTCAAGTGTCCCTCAAGAAATGGGTCTCATGTTGAGATTTCTATCATCTAAAGGTTATGTTCGAATATTCGCCTTTATGCTTCGTGAAAGAATGGAATAAGTTTGTGTTTAAATTGAAAGTCAAAGCTAACGGGTTCATGGAAGTTCAAGTTTTGTGCCAAAGGTGGAAGAATGTTCATGTAATTATTTCTTTTGGAATTTAAGTAACAAATGAATTGGTCCATAGATCATTTCTAAGGCTCATTTCCCAATTCCGTCCACCCAATAATCTTTGTTTCTTACAGTTCAAGCCTATTATCCCAAGTTGCCATCAAAGTTCAAACCTGTGCTATTCAAGTTTTAAGTTGTGGAGTTCATTCATCAAGAGAGGCGCAGAGTGCAAGTTGCAAAGAAATTCTTATCTGATTCACGTCGGGTTTGATTCTAAAATTCAAAGATATAAGGTTTAAGACCAATTTCCAAAATAACGCAAGATAAAAAAGACTTCACATTGAGCTGGGCTCAGTTTAAATACATTACAAATCACTACTACAAAAATGAATTTTGGCAGCGCATGAAAAGACAACGCTTTTTGAAAAAGCGCTGCTAAAGAGTCAGGAAAAAAAAAGAAAAAAAATAGTAGACTTTAGACAGCGCTTTTCAAAAAGCGCTGCTAAAGGTAGGCCATACGAAAGCGCTTTATAAAAAGCGTTGCTAAAAGTATGCCCTACGAAAGCGCTTTCAGAAAGCGCTACTATAGAGTAACCTACGAGAGCGCTTTTAGAAACCGCTGCTAAAGGGGTCATTCTAAGAAATCGCTTTTTGAAAAGCGCTGCTAAAGGTGGTATGAAAGATGTAACAGCCCAATTTTCATTAATTAATTATTTATGTTAATTAATTGAATTATTTGGATTAATTGCATTATTGGAATTATTGGTAGATATTTTGAGAAAAGATATTGGAGAGAATTAGAAGGGAAAGACATATAAGGAAAGTGGAAGGAAAAAGAAAAAGATAGAAACATAAGAGAAAGAATAGAGAAAGAAAGAGGAAGAGGAGAAAAGAGAAGGAAAAGAGGGAAAAGCTTGGAAAGCTCAAGAGCAACTTCTAGCTCCGATTTAATCAAGGTAAGGGTGTGAAATGTTGTTATTCTATCAATGTTTATGATTATGCATATGTTTGTTGGTTTGGTTGGGAGTATTGGAGAGTTTTGCTCATTTTCCATTTTAGGGCAGAAATGAGTTTAATCGGTAGAATCGAAGTTTTAATGGTTAAAACCGGGAATAAGTTGTGTAGTTTAGTCGAGGGATGTTAAACTAAGACTATAGAAACTGGTTTGGGGAGAATCGGTTGGTTTTGTGATGAGTTGTGGATTTTGGACAGTGAGGGTTTTGAGTTCGCAGACACTCGCTAGCACCTTCGCTAGGCGAGCTGGTCGCGAGCGTTCGCTGCAGCGAGCTGGTAGCGAAAGGTCCCAGACTTGCGCAGAATGGAAAGATCAATCTCGCTGGTAGCGAGTGGGGTAGCGAAATATTCGCTAGGACCTCGCTTGAGCGAGTAGGTAGCGAAGCTTGACAGTAGCTTCTGTTTGCCTTCACGAGCATGTTCGTTAGGCGAACAAGTAGCGAATGTTCGCTAGGCAAGCATGCTAGCGAGCATGACATCATTTGGTTTTCTCTGTGATTCCATCCTATGTTGATTTCTTGGTTCGATTATGTTCGATCCTTGTTGGGAATGAGTAATTGTGTGCTGTGAAAAATATGTTGTTGGTAGCCGTATGGCGTGAATCCTAGATTATGGAATGTGGTGTTATGACAAATATAATGAAAAATATGTTCTATTTGGCACGACATTGTGAATGCATATTGATTGTATTCGATTGTGTGTAAAGAATGCATGAGAATATACTGTGAATATATATGCATTTCTTGGTAAAGGTGATGATGATGTTGAAATTATGTATATGTGTAAAACTCATGTCACTAGGGTAGAATGACAAGATGTTGTTCCTGGTGGAGTTGTCACTAGGGTAGAATAACAGGATGTTGTTCCTAGCGATGTATAGTGTTATGGTCGTACTCACTAGGGTAGAATGATGTGATATCGTTCCTAGTGGAGTAATCACTGGGGTAGAATGATAAGATATCATTCCTAGTGAAATGAACACTGGGGTAGAATGGCAATGTGTCGTTCCTAGTGAAATGAACACTGGGGTAGAATGGAAATGTGTCGTTCCTAGTGAAATGAACACTGGGGTAGAATAGAAATGTGTCGTTCCTAGTGAAATGAACACTGGGGTAGAATGGCAATGTGTCGTTCCTAGTGGAATAATCACCGGGGTAGAGTAACTGAGATGTTATTCCTGGTGGGGTATAAGCGATGTACCCATAATCCTAAATGGGGATTGGTGAGAATTGAGGGGTTGTATATGAGTCACATGGTATAGATACCATTGTTATGTTAAAGTATGCTTGTGTATGAATCGTTGGATTGAGAATTTTGGATGTAGGCATGATGAAATATGCTTGATAATTATCCATACCTAATTATAAATACATGGTGATAAATTATAATGGATTGTGGTGAGAAATGTGGAATATATGTATTCTGTACTTGTGCATTCATATATAATTATATGCATTGATTATTATGATAATATTTCTCACCCTTCTGTTGTTTTATAATGCTCTATGAGGCATTGCAGATTAGAGTTGCTGGAGGTCTTTTGTGAAGTATAGCTTCATTCTTTTGGTCGGATTGCTCTGATATGTAGCACCGGGTAGTTAGGCTTGTATAGCATTCTTTTATGATACATCTGGATAGGTATCTGATGGCAAATGTTTTGTAAATCATGAATGATGTGGTGAAACAAATTGAATGATATGTATTTATGTGATTACATGTTAAATGATTCAATGTTTTAATCTTCCGCTTAATTTTAAATGTTAAGAGGTGGGTGTAAGGACGAAGTTCCTCTATTTGAAAACTACCCCACTGTTACATGTCTTTTATAGAGCAGGTGTTGTATGCTTAATTGTGTATGATGTGACATACTTCTTTCATACCATGTTTCAAATTTTACTCTGATGAAAGTTTATTATGTGATTTAATTGTTTTATTTTGGGGTATAGAAGGGGGTGTTACATTAAGTGGTATCAGAGCAGGTCGGCCA